GTTAAAAAATGGCCCCAAATGGGAGGTAGGTACACCTACTGTACTGTATTATGGAGGGTATTACATAGTCACACCTTTTGCACATAATACAGATATAATTTTTTTGGTTTTTGTAGTTTGACATTCTACCTCAGCCTCAATTTCTTATTTTGTTCTTAATTTTTAAGCAATTTCAGCCTCAGTGTTCTTATAAAATGTGTTCTTATAAAAAAAAATTAAAAAGTGTACATTTTTAATAGATTTTTCCAATTCCAGCATGGAGGAGAGGCAATGCACTCATATCAACAATAAAATACAACAATTAGGCCTATTTTTCTTAAATACAATTTGGCAAGGTGGAGGGGGGGGGTGCGATCGCACCTTCTGGACCCCTGCATCCGCCAGAACATTGTACCCAGAGAATTAGATACCTTCCTTACCCTTGAACTCCCAAAACGGCGCCGGTTTGATTTTAATCGCCCCCGCGAGAGCCCATGACGTTGGTACGCCACTGTTAAAGATTGTCCCCTTAATGACAATAAACCTGAAAGTTTTCATATATTTTTTGCTGTAAAATTGTGGGTAAACATTTTTATGAAATACACTAATTTCTATGTTCAATTTGACAATTCTTATGTTACTTCAAAAAGAGCAAGTTAATTTTAAAATGCATTTTTATGATTATTTTCTTTTCTTTTTTTTTTTTGTATTTTTCTTGCGTCTTTATACGATGCACAAATCATCTAAAATGTAGCATTAGCTCGTCCACCGACATAGGCTTGTGAAAGTAGGCCTACTCAGAACCTTCTCTGAGCATGTTTAAAATGCTTTAAAGATATGCCTATCCACCTTAACTCTCATTTCATTCTACCGGGTATACGCGTAATCATCGAAATTCAAAATCTAAGGCTAATTGGCCACTAGTGGTAGTTATATGAAAAGTATCCGGCTGAAACAGAAAGTACAGCGTAACACTATAAACCTACTGGTAGAGGCCGGAAGAAATTTGATAACCTCGAACGGGGAAACTAATCATCTGGGCCCGGTTCACATGCTCTGAACTGACAGCACATCATTCCTCCCAAGACAAACACAAGCCATAGTTTAGTATACATGTGAGCACATTGCTTGAGCTATTAATAGATCGAGGTTAGTGCCGTGTAGCAAATAAAACAAATTCCGGTATTTTATTAAAAAGCTAAAAAAAAACTGAAAAATTCAATTGCACATTTGAAATGCCTCATTTGTATTTTTAAGTGAGTTAAACCCATAAGTTAAGGCCCTAATTAAACATTTGAATGAAAGAAAAAATCCATTTCAATGGACAGATAAATAATACCATGCCCTTCCTCTATTGTTTTCTGCTTTTACATTAATTTCACCTTGCCTTCTTAGACCTAACGCTTAAGACCTAAGATTTTTTTCTCAATATTTTTAGCAGACAGACACCTTTAACGGGAAAAATAGGTCTCTATTTTCATCGTATACCGCATGCAGAAGCAATATATAAGTTTATAACATGATTCCTAGTCTGAAGTGAAAAGGTTATTTGATTGACTAGGAAGTGGGGAAACCCGTCGTCTTAGGCACTACAGCATTTCCCTCAAGCTAAACACAAGTAAATTAATAAATATTTTTAATTTGATAGAATATTTTCCAGGTTGATGGTCTACCGGTAACCTTGTGCTGTTGGCATTATTTCCAAATTAAATTCACCATATACCTTGTAGACTGCGCGCATGTTTTTGACAAATTATGCTTTGATAAATAGGCCAACTTGCCTCGAGATACAATTATTCGTAAAGGTTGTAGAATAATAATAGTTTGCAGGCTATAACATCTCTGGTTCTGTAAGTTGCATGAATGTATGAACATTACCGGTATTCAATGGACATCTTAATTTTTTTTTTTAAAAGGTAAAACAATTAGAATTAAAAAAGTCTATAGGCGATGATCCGAAGATTACTCTTGCAGCCAGCCTTTGACAGGCAAATGCTGCCACAATGTTCACATAGGGGCCCATCCAAGTTATTTTGGCCCAAGGGCAATTTACATTCTTTTCATATATGACTCTACTTGTTTTAGGCGTTCTGTCTCAAATCTCTTAAGTGCAGCTTAAATTCTCCATTCCAG